AGAAGATGCTTGTAACATGGATTACTGTGTATTAACTGTTCTCCACAACAACAGACATGAGGTTTAAACATGTGTGTCCAAGTGAGACAAGATAAGGGACCAAAGAAGCAGAATGGAAGAAAATAAGCCTTTTAAGATCTTCTGGGTACTGCTATTCATTGTTAGTTTCCAAATAGCCCTTTCATTAATGTAAAACACTTGTAAAAACTGCACTCTTTAGGCTTTCTTTATTGAAATACAGCTAGGGCTTCTGTTTCTGAGGTTTGAGTTTCATTTGGGGGGAGGGGTATTTTTAGCAATTTGATTTTTAGGTAGCTGTCCAAAAATCAAGTTTTCAAGTCTCTTTTTGAAACAGTACTATGTTAAAATACGTTTACAATAGGGATCTTTAGTATGCACCAGGTTGGTCTACACAGACCAAGTAATGTGTTGCACATTAAGTGTGCTTTAGAAACTATACGCTGTCATCTGCATTATTGCTCCATGTAGAGGCCTTTGGATCCTAAACCATTTCTGGTGGGATAAACCACCTTTGTTTTGGTATTGGGGGTGTTTTGTTTTATGTTCCAATCAGTTAAAACGTTGTATCCTAGATGGAAGCTGAGTTGAATCCAGGTATCTCAAGTTACATAAGTTGATATTGTGTGGACCTGTAGCTTGTATTGGAACTGTACAAGAAGAATCTCTAGCCTATAAAGGGGTTTCTAACCTAAAGCTGAGGGTAGGGGTAAGGAGACAAAGGTGTTGGAACCCTTGTCAACATTTGTTTCTAAATATTTAGAAGAAGCTTTCTTACGGCACCCTAACCTTTGGATTGTTCACATGAAGGGGTCGTTGAGGAAGAGCCCATGCCACAGGCATTTAAAGGTATATTCCCAACCTTTGTATGTCCATGGGGTTTATCACTTTCCTATGGACTCAAATCCTACAGTTCTGACAAACCACAAACATTTTCCAGATGAGATGCTAAAGAAATAGCAATGCCATGTTGTAATCCCATAAATTAAATAGTCTTCTAGGTACATGCTGTGTGCTTCTCATTTATGGAACACTTGCTATAGATGCTGTTGATAGATTAACAAAACTGCAGTTTAGGTTTAGAGATCAACATTTTTTTTTTTTAACCCCTTATTTCAAAGGTGTTTGGGATCTAGACTTTTGGTCCCAAGCATGAAATTCAAAGCTGGACTCAGGTTGGGAGGCAGGGTCAGTCCCAAGGCAGCAGGGAGAGGGATGGCAATTGTCCAGTCAGGTTAAAATAAAAACACCAACACGACCTTTAGCTTTTGAAAAACCCAGCATGAACTAGCAGAAAATTTGATTCTCTCTTTAGGGTCTCAAGGTTTGTCTACATGGTGGGGGTAAAGGGCATTTCAGAAATCACACCCTGTAGTGCACAAACATGTATATTAATCTGTTCAGGTGCTGCTGGTGAACACTAACATTTCCTAGAGTGCTTTAATTGAGTTCCCACCAGCCCTTTCTACATGGACCCATTAACATACTTTAGAACACTTCAAGTCACACCACTCTCCTACCACTAGTGCACATTATGCCACAGTGTAGACATGCCCTTTGTCTCCTTTAACTTCCTCCCCAGCAAGCTGGCACTTTGGCTTGTTATCATACAAAGAGTCCCCAGTTATTCCCTGCCCAGACCTAGCGTAACCTCCCTTGTACTACACATTCTTTCTTCAGCCTTATCTGAGCTAATGAAGGCTTTCTGTGATATCTATATAGTAATTCACTACACACTATGAAATTCTTGCAGTCACTTTTCCCTCTGTGGCTATACTACACAACATACAGCTGGCAGGGCCAGCTCCAGGCACCAGCTTAACAAGCAGGTGCTTGGGGTGGCCAAGGGAGAGGGGCAGCACCTGCAGCAATTCGGGAGCGGCAGGTCCCTCACTCCCTCTAGGAGCGAAGGACCTGCCACTGAACTGCTGCCGCCAATCGCGTTGTTCCCCACCCCTGCCGCCCCCACCCCCCATTGCTGCTGCTGATCACGGCTTTTTATTTTTTGCTGCTTAGGGCAGCAGAAATGCTGGAGCCGGCCCTGACAGCTGGGCAACTCAGCAAGGATATCTTGTGAAAGCTATCCAAATGTAGTTTCTTGTCCATATCTTCCCAAATTGTATACAGTATCAAAAGCATTATAGTCCGCTGTTACCTGTCCCAGAATGAAAAGTTTCAGAGTAGAATGTGGCTTCTACTATCTCTTCCTTATTGTACCTGCTGCTACTCTTGAAGAAGGGAGTTGGACAGCAGAAGTAATTCAGTTCATCCCAATTGTACAGGCAATTTGCATACTGCAATCCTGTTAAGATGCTAATTTTTTTGTTACATTGAAGCTAGATTCTCAAACCACGCTTTCTGGATGACAGGACTGTAGAAATGTAGTTCAAATGAACCTTCCCTTAACTAGAACAATGAATGCACAGGAATGGTTTTGTGTACACCCCGTCACATGTTATGATCGCATAGCTTGACTTTTAAAGTCTTTACATCAGCTAACCAAAATCTTATGGATCCAGATCTGCCCACAAAGGCAGCTACCATTGAAGTTGAGTTGTAAAGCTACATGGGCAGAATTGGACCTTAAAAGAATGTAGCTTTTTAAAGTGTCAAGTAACTTAATTTGTTTGAGGTGGTTTATGTTCTCCTCACTAGCCATGCTTTTGCTCACTCTACCATTACAAGATTTAAAACATATTTTGATGGTTGCACTAGGAGAATTAAAATGCTGGGTAATTCTGTAAAAACCACTATGAGGATAAACTCATTCCACACTTCTAACACAGCTGCACTTTGGAATGAATGACTGCAGTTATGGAAACAGTCAAGGTTTAGGGGTTCTCTATATAAAAACTGAAGCTGATCCTGAGCTAGTGTAAATGGAACTAAATCAATTCACATCACCTGTGGATCTGGCCCTGAAAGATGTATAGATTTAGATTTACTTGTTTACTTTCTGCATTAGTCTGTTTGGACA